GCTGACCCCCATCAGGCCACTTCAGGAGACTGGATTCCCAGGCCACTGCCTTGATAGAGGCCTGTCCCCAGGGATTAATGGCTCCATCCCCAGGACTGCAGCTCTGTGTGGTCACCCACAGGACCTCATAGATGTCCCATTTCATATGCCTGCCTCCCCTGCCAGCCTGGTCTTAGGTCCTCAGCTGGGTTGGCGTGTGACACCTGTGTGGGTCTCCTGGTGGTGCTTGGCGGGAGCCATGTGCGGGCAACTCTGCAGCACATTTGTCCACACCTCTGTGGGGCCCGTGATAACCCACCCTGAGTCTCAGCTCCAAAATGCTCAGGAGTTCAGACAAACCCCACCCCAACCCCAGTTCTAGGGGTGCTGGGGGACAGCGGGCAGGCTCTATTGAATGAATATCACCTGGAAGATCAAGAGACATGCACAGCCAGCAAGGCTGTGGTCTGTGCAGGACTCAGAGGACGTGCACTATTATTCAAATCTCCCAACAGTAGGGGAATGGGAATATTAGTGTCACCATCTTTGTGAGAGGAACTAAAGCACAGAGATACCGAGTGGCGTGTCTTGCTGTTTTGAGTTGACATGGCACAAGGCAGACGTCACTGAGTGCACTTAGGCGATTTTATCACTGTGTGCGGGGAACACAGGTTTGAGGGGCAGGGCCACCAGCAAGGGCTTAGGAGGCAGCGGGGACCCTGTAGGAATCCTACCCCTCCTGTTCTGTGGAAGGGCCTGGGCCACACTGACTTATCTCAGTCCCAGCCTGGGTTCTCCCCTAGGTGACTTGGAGGAGGTGCCTGCCTTCAGGGCTTGTCATGAGGGGATGAAAGAGCTGAGCAGGACACACCCATGAATGTCCACTGTCCACTGTGACCCTGGGACACCCATGAATGTCCACTGTCCACTGTGACCCTGGTCAGGTCCCTTCCCTATAGAGGCCTCATGTCCTCATCTGTAAAATGGGAGGGTGGCTCTGACTGCAGCCTGGAGCGTTTGGGGGTCAGCTGGGGAAGAGGGCAGAGCAGCCTCTGTAGATGGAGAGCAAGAGCTGGGCCAGGAGGAAGGAGGTGGCCCAGCTGCCCCTGCCTCGCAGAGCCTCCAGGTGGGGGTCGTGGGGGCATTCCCTGAGGCACCAGGCCCCACCCTCACCGCCACTGCTGGAGGCTGCCTCCTCTGCTTCTGGGCAGCTCTGGGTCCCTTCCACTCTTCCTGTCCTCCTGGGTCTCCTGAGCCACAGTCTTTACTGACCAGGCGCCTCCTGCTGACTGGAGCCCTGGCCCCTGGGGAACAGGTTCCTCTCTGATTTCTCCTTCCTGTCTGTCCAGACCTTTCCCTACCAACTGAGGATGAGCCAGACTTCCAGAAGGAGGCCCTTGGTGAGCAGAGGCATGTGGCCAGGCCACTGGGACCACAGCCATCCTAACTGTAACAGGACCCGCATCACCTGCAGCCCCAGGGAGCAGCGAAGGTGGGGCGGCTGTGACCTCCTCCAAGAGGCACCTCAAGTTTCTAAGGTACCTCTGTGTTCCTGCGTGTTCTGCTTTGACACCAGCCATCCAGGAGCCCTGACTTGAGCCCCTGCCTGACCCTGGGAGTTGGAGGTGCTGGAGGTGGCTGCCTGCTGCCTTGTGTCTGAGTGGCAGGTGGCCTGATGCCAGGAATAGGGATCCGAAGAAGCTTCTAGATCCTGGGACACCCCGACTCCCTCCAAGCAAGAGCTAGTTCTCAGGGTGTCATCTACAGCCCACCGGGGGCTGTGGGTTCTGCAAGAGGCCTCCTCCCCACTCAGCTCGGAGGGACGGTCTTCCCAGAGCCGCCTGCACAATTTTCACTTAACCAAGAAAGCTGACGTTTCCCCGAGGGTCACAGGAACTCAATGCTGATTACTGAGGCTGACACCCCTGGCACTGAGCCGCGGCTGGGGTGGGACTGTTCACAGCCAACTCCTCACTGTGGCTTCGACACCCCAAGCCACCAGAAGCAAGGCCTGAGAGCCTACGGGATTGTAAGGTTCTGTGTATGTCGACAAGTGCCTTTAAACCTGGACTGTCCCCGGGCACAGTGGCGCACGCCTGTGATCCCAGAGACTTGGAGGCTGGGGCCACCCTGGACAACTTAGCCAGACTGTCTTAAAAAATACATATATATGAAGGGCTGAGTACATGACTATACCACAGTGGACCCCAACATCCAGCATATCCACACAACACTAATTAAAAAATAAAATTTAATTTTTATGCTATTTTTTTTTTAACTAAGGAAGAGGCCTATGAAGGCAAAACGTGCTGAGGGCCCATGAAGACATGAGGCAGCCCGCATCCACGGCATATTTTGTCCCACACTCTCGCGGTGACTATGCGGGCGGCCTCCTGTCATCCAAGATGACAGGCCACAGCTCTGCAAGTCGAGGAAGGCAGCGGCATGACCTGCTGTTCCCAGACATTCATCCTGCACGGCTTGAGACAGTTTATCACTGTGCTCGGTTCCTGGAGAGGCCGATGGCAGCTCCCGGCCATCCTGTCCCTTACCCTACCCAGGGTAGGGCATGCCAAGATGAAGTTTCCCCTCTGCCTTCCCGGAGACCCAGTACTGGCAAGGGGAGGGCTCCCTAAGGCCAGAACTGGGAAGTTTTGGTGTCGTCTGTCCTGTGTTAGTTGCAGTTTGAAGAAGCTGTCAGTTGAATATTGACGGTGTCCCTTGACATGGTCCCCTGGGAGGGTGTCTCTCACTCCATATCCACCTGAGAGCCGCTGGCCTGGAGGCAGCTGAAACCCACCAGGATGCGTCACTCTTACGATGGCAAACTGCGGGAGTGCCCCATGGGCCCGGCCCTCACCTCTTGGCCCTGGTTTCCCCAAGTACAGAGGGAAGCCCAGCAGCCTGTCCAGCCAGCCTCAGCAGGCAGCTGTCCGCTGGTTGACCGGCGGGCTCCCTGGGGTGTGCTCTAAAGGGGACAGAGAAAGGAGGGGCAGGAGGACTCTGGGCTGGTGGAAAGGGCACTTGGCTCTCACGGGCACCCTGGCTCTCACACTGTCTAGCCTTGGCTCATCTGCGGAACAGGAATCAAAGCCATGTGTCTGGACAGGGGGCGGGGGGGTGCAGCTCAGACGCCGAGCTCTTGTCCAGCATGTACAAGGCCCTGGGTTCCAACAAAACAAACAAGCAAACACCAGCACCCACACCAGCTCCCTTCCTGCTCCACCAGACCAGCTGAGACAGTGTGCGGAGGCTCTGAAGCCCCCGGGGCTTAGGGGACGAGGCCATTCACTAAGGCCTGGCCGCCTCTGCCCTTTGCACTCACCGTTCACTCGGTCTTTCTTTGCCTTGCTTGGTTTTTATTTTTTGGTACAAGGAATTGACCCCAGGAGTGTTTAATACTGCGTCACATCCCCAGCCCTTTTCAAATGTTTTATTTAGAGACAGGGTCTTGCTCAGTTGCTTAGAGCCTCTCTAAGTTGCTAAGGCTGGCTTTGAACTTGCCATCCTCCTGCCTCAGCCTCCTGAGCTGCTGGGATTACAGGTGTGTGCCACTGTCCCCGGCTTGGTTCTTATTTTATTTTTTGGTACAAAGGATTAAACCCAGGGCACTTTACCACAGAGCTAGCTACATCTCCTCTCCTATTTATTTATTTATTTTTGAGACAAGGTTTTGCTAAGTTGCTTACAGCCTCCCTAAATTGTTGAGGCTGGCTTTGAACTTGTGATCCTCCTATTTCAGCTTCCTGAGTCACTGAGACTATAGGGATGCGTCACCACGCCTGGCTGCCTGGGTTCTTAAAAGGCCCTTATAAGTCTTATGGTGTGTGTGTGTGTTCATGTTCTGGTTTGTTCACCCTAAATAAAGTTTTCTCCTCCCCCCTTCCTATAGATCCAGTGTACACATAACTATTTTCAAAACAGAGAACACACATCAGCAGAGATGGGGGTGAAATACAGAATGAAGCGTTTATCATTTGGATGCTGGGGTTCATAGGAGCCAGTAATTCAGAAACTTCTGAGGCAAGACTAAGTCACTCGGAAAAGGGTTTCTGTTTGGATGACCTACTTTAGTATGACCTCCTCTTCCCATCCTCTTTGCTACCTTCAAACACTTTTCATTTTGATCTCCAATCTCTGCTCTTACTCTTTTGCATTTTGTAAAAAAAAAAAAAGAAAAAAGAAATTGACAAATATCTCATCTATGCAATTAAAATGTTATTTCTCATTCAGGCACAGTGACACAAGGCTGTAAATCCAGCAACTCGAGAGGCTGAGGCAGGAGGATTGCAAATTCAAGGCCAGCCTCAGCAACTTAGCAGATCCTATCTCAAAATAAATAAGTAAATAGATGATAGAGTGGCCCTGGGTCCAATCCTTGGTATAATAAATAAATAAATACATAAAAATAAAGAAAGAAATTATTTTCCTGTACTCTGGCTGTCCCCATGCAGTTCACGGAAGGGCATGACTCAAGACAAGGCAATGACCCAATCTCACCAAGGCCTCACCAGGCTCAGCCAGGGAAGACCAAGGGGCAGATGCTGTAATCACCACCACAGGAGCGGTAAGACTGGCAGGTTCCCGCCAGAAAGAACCCACGGGAGCTGTTACCACGGGCCAGGTCCCCACTGCTTTGTCAGAGGGAGACTGTGCAAACTGAGGGACATGTCATCAGGGGATCAGAAATCTTTCTAGGACCCTTGGATGAGGACTTATTTGACCAACTGGTTCTGGACTCTTGGAAGCTGCAAGGCCCAAGTCTCAGGTTGCCAAATGCCATAGGGACCTTTCCCCGGGCAGGTTTGAGGAGTGGTTTGCTAGACGGCAGCACGTCAGAGCTGGAATGGGGGAGCCCCCACCTCCAGGGAGCGCTCCCACTCTGCACAGTGCCCAGCTCTGGGGCAGAAGTCGCTGCCACCCGTCCCCCCGCCCTGGAGCCAACCTTGCTCTTAGTTGTTGCCTGGACCTTTGGGAGCGGCTGCCTTTGCTGAACTTACAAAGAGCACAGATTCAGGGCATTTGGGGTGTTTGGTATTGTTTATTTATTTTTTTAAACCCACTTGTAGTTTGGGTTCAGCTGAAAAGCAGGACATACAGATGGAGGTGGGCGGGGCGCAGGCAGGTTTCCGCTGCAGCTCTGGCCGGAGGCCCCAGGCCCTGCTCCGCCTGGGGAGGTAGGTCCTGTGGTGGGGCCCCCAGCTGGCTCAGGTGAGGTGGCCAGCCTTCTGGGCTAGTGTCCCGTGTCCCTAGCAGAGCTGTTTTTGCTCTGATCTGCATCTTCAAAGGCCCCGTCAGAGATTTCCCAACAGAGTGCCCAGCAGCTGAGGGACGCCACACCAAGGCCAGGCCAAGCGCGTGTGGGACAAGGAACGCTGGTCGGCTTCTGATGCCAGATAACAGCCTGGGACTGGGCTTCCTCAGGCCACTGTCTGGGGTGGCCCCAGGGGGCTGCTCCTGCTGGCAGCCCGGGCTGTCTGGGCCCCGCCCCTTCAGCTGCCTGGGGCGGGAGCCTCGGTGCAGTCCCTCCCCCTCCGCCCCGCAGAGAAAATAAAATAAAATAAAAACGAGAATAAATACCGACTGCGTCAACATTTACATTTACACAGATGGACAGGACGATCCCCAAACTGTGAAGGTTTACAGACTGGTTAAGGAAGGACAGACGACAAACTGGGTTTGGGGGTGCATGTTCTTCCCCAGGGAGGACGGTTGGGAGCCCTCCTGGGGTTGCCGTCCCAGAGCTCAGGCAAAGCCACCAGGCCGTGGGCAGCAGGAGGGTGGCAAGCAGGCCGCCCGAGAGGAACACGGTGACTAACTCATCCTGACAGGCGGGGCGGAGACGAGGACCGACATCAGATGGCTGTACCCGGGCCTCCTCCGAGCGCCAAGAACCGCGGGCAATAGGGGAGCAGCACAGGCCACGGCAACGCAGTGGCCAGTCCTCCCTCCCGTCAGACACTCAGAGGCCAGCTGGAGGTGACCTTCCTCTTGCAGTAGAGGGGCCGCTGGCCTGGGGAGGGGCAGGGCGCTGTGGGCCACCTGCTTCTGTCCCCTGTCCCTGTCTGAGTAGTCTCCCGTGGGAAGCTGCCCAGACTCTGACGTTTTAGGCTTTGCTGTTGTTTCTTTAAAAAAAAAAATTAAAAATGTTTTCCTTCTATGTCTGAAAAAGTAGCAGCAACCTGCATTTAGAAAAACAGCCGAAAGTGTTACGGATTGGCCAGGAAGCGCTTTCAAGCCATGGAAGAAACTAGGCAAACGGTTTGTCTAGAGCCACCGTGACACGACACGTAATTAAAAATATATTTATATATGTATACATATTTATATCTCACTTCTTCACACTGCTCTTCCCGGGCGAGAAGGGGCTGGCTCTGAGGCGAGGCCCCGACAGGCCGTTCAGAGGGACGCGCATTCGACCCATGGTGCCTGCGATGCTGCCTGTCTCTGCCTCCGCAGGGGACACCAGCCCCGCCACAGTGTCTGGGAGCCTCCTTCATGAAGAGCCCCTCCGGGAGCCCAGTGAGGAGTGGACCTGCTTCCACTGGACCTAGGCCCCCACTCCCGGCCTCTCGGGGACCCTGCTTCATTCTCAGCAGATACACACACACACACACACACACACACACACACCACACACCTGAGGGAAGCCATCTCAGCACACGTGGGCTCTCCGCCGCTGCAGGAGAGTAGCTTGCCTGGCTGAGGCTGCCAGACTTCACGCTCCGGAGAGCATGATTTCCCTGGTGTCCTCTCTGAGCATCCCCAAATCATTTATACGTTTCTGTGTTTCTTTTTTTTGTGCGTGTGGTGCTGGGGACTGAACCCAGAGCCTGTGCAGGCGAAGCAAGCACTCTACCAGCTGAGCTATATCCCAAATCAGCCTGGCTCTTCCCTCAAGCCTCCGGTGGGGCTTCTGAGGTCCCTGCGCCTAAGGGCTGGGGAAGGACACCGGGCAGTAACAGCATCCCAGGAAGGAGGGGCGGGAGGAAGAGGGCGGGGCCAGGGCCAGGGGAGCACGAGCCTCTTGGCAGAGAAAACCTGTGTCCCCCATAATTTGCTCCCAACAGGCTCTTTCTGGGGACTGGCGCAGGCTCCTGTCTTGGAGCTGGAAGCCCGACTGCAGAGGGTAAATCAGGGAGAACTGGGGAACTTCTTGGACCCACCCACTCCGCCTCCCTAGCCTCAGGAACAATCAGGAGAAACCTCCCCCACCCTTCCCTTCCCACTCGATCTGATTTGAACCTGGAGGCCAGAAAGAGCCTCCGGTCTGACCTAGGGCTTGACCAGCCTCCACCCAGGAGCAGGTCGGATGCTGCTGGGCTCTGCTGGCATCTCCTGGGGCCTTATCAAAATATGGGCTCCATACCCCAGAGACGACCTCGTCCTCCTCTCTAGCCATCAAAGATGGAAGCCGTTCCTCTGGATGGAGGGACTTCCAAGAAACCCCAGCCTTGTTTCCAGAACAGTCACTGGACTGTCCCTGTCCTGACTGGATGAATTCCCCCCTTCCCAAGACCCTGGAGGGCTGGGCTTCTGGGTCTTGCTGGGGCGGAGGCTGGGGCAGCCATCTAGCCCACGAGCCACCCTTCCAAGTCCTGGAGAGCAAGGCAGCCCCCTGCTCCCTGTTCCCCCCAGGATGAGCCTGGGACAAGCTGTGCGTTTTGGTTTTAGTTTGCCAGTCCTGTTCCCCGGCCACGTTCACCGCAAGGCAGCCCGCCCCCGCCCCTGCCCCAGGCCAGGACTGGGTCTAACTCAGTCCAGGGGCGACAGCATCAGCCCTTTGAGAGAGACAGCACAGGGGCTGCCGGCCAGGGGCTGAGGAACAGAGGATTCCAGCGGGGACCCCCACCGGGGCAGAAGTTTCCAATTACCCTAATTGGCTACTGGCAAGCTGTTTGTGGCTAGAATCCTTCCAGAGGGGGCCGGGTTTGATCTGCAGCTAATCAGGGGGTCCTCGCGGGCTGACTGTGATCACATCGAGGGCTTTTTCATTGAGAGGAGAGACTTCAAAGCAACTGACTTTTGAAAAATAAAACACAATAAAATAAAAGGGTGCAAGCTGAGCTGCGGGCTCCAGCTCCCTCCTGCTGCCGGCAGACCCCCTCGACCCCCTCGGCCTGGGGCTGGGGCTGGGGGAACCCGAGTCAGGAGGGTGGAGCGTGAAGGTTAGAGAAAAGTGCCGCCCCCAGCTCGGCCAGGCTGACAAAGGCCCGCAGTGACGGGCGGCTGGTGGGGACGGTGCCTGCCTTTGTCCTCCCGGACATCTGCTACACGTCCCTGCTGCCAGTTGGCGACTGCGGCTGACAGCACGCAGGAACAATGCGAGGCTGACTCGACCCACTTTTTCAGCCTTCTGAGGTCCTTTCTGACCCACGCAGTGTCCTGGTGTGCAAGGCTGCTGGAGGCTCTTGAGCAGCGGCAGGGACAGACCCCGCCAAAAAGCTGGGCGGGGGGATGGGTGGAGTGGCAGGGGGTGGGAGGGGCAGGAGAGAGGATGGGCCAGGGCCAGGGCCACCAGGAAAAAGACACATGCTTCCCTTATTGGTGTGAGCTACGGGCATGCTCGGGTTGGGGCGGGGGACCTGGGAGGGAGGGGACGCTCCTCTCAGGGATCTGATCCCTTCCCCTGCTGGCTCTAGACTGGCCACCGACTCTGCCTGCCTTCCTGCCCATTTCTTTCCCCCGCCAGGGCCACCCCTGTCCTCCCGCCTGTCCATCTGGCCCTGTGCGCCAGGGCCCCAGCTGCCCGTGGGCTGCCCGCCAGGCCCCCCGGCTGTCAGGCTGTCAGTTTCTGGATGGTTCTGTTGTAGTACTGTGTAATGGGGGGCGTCAGAGGGTTCCAGCTGTTGGCATGGAGCTCAATGACCTCTAGGAGCAGTGACCGCGTCAGCATGGACTCCGAGGGGCACAGCATCTTGTCTCGGGCGCTGGCCAGGAGCTCCGTCATCATCTCGGGCAGCTGTTCCTCCAGCAGCCGGCCTGTACTCTGCAGCTGTGGGCAGAGGAGTGTCAGTTAGGGCAGGGTTTGGGACCCCACGTGCCCCCTGGCCTCGGTTAGGTGGGCTGGGGGTAGGGACAAGAAATAGCTGGAGAGTCTTAGGGACGTGCAGGCCCAGGTGGAACTGGGAGCTCTCCAAACAGGAGCGCTCACATTGAATACTGCCTGCAGCGGGCACGAGAGGAACCAGAGAATCGCCTGCTGCCAGGCCTGAGAGCAGTTTCCAGAGCACCTCTTTCCCGCCTAGAACCTCCCCTCCTACAGGAAGCCTTCCCTGACTGGAGCCACAGCTTCGAGTGGCCCCATGAACTGATCCCTTGAGTGATCAGGTGGCAGTGTGTTCAGATCCACTTGGTGTCTCTTTGGAAAAGAGCTCAGTCATTCTTAGCTGCATGTGTCCACGTGGAACCCGAGAGCGAGTAGCCTCCCCTTGCTCTCTGTCCCCTTCTCTCCTGCCGCCTCCCACCGCCCAGCTCCAGAACCGCTCTCTGCCTACACTTATGGCAAAGGGGAGAGAAATACGAACCGGGGTGGACGGCCAGCTGGAGGATCCCGGGAGCCCTACAATCCTGAAAAGCAGCCGCCTATGATCTCTGTCCCCATCGCTGCCCCAACCCGGCTTTGAGCCTCCATGGTCAAGGCTCTGCCTCCGTCACAGAGCCACCCTTGACCTCCGCACCCCGCCACTGACTCCCTGGGTTGTCCAGGGTGTGTGCTCGGTGCTCACACCTCGTCCACCCACCGCGTGTGTCTGTCCCCAACCAGCCCGGGAGCCGTCTGAGGTAAGGACCCGCCTTCTTTCCCCAGTCTCTCCAGGCACCATCTGGGACTCAACAAATGAACTGCCCCTGGACGGTCTAGGCTCCTGGCACCTCTGTCTCCTGAGCTCCTTGGGTGCGGCATTTCAGCCTGGGCAGAGCCTCCTGAGAGGTGTGCTCATTAGAGCTGCCAGGCTGGGTCCTCGCCCTGCAAGCCCCCTCCTCCCCGTGCTCCACTCTGAGTGACTCTGGGCTATTTGCAGAAGGCCAAGATCCACCCCAGGGATGGGATCAGAGCCAGGCTCCAAAGGAAGAACCCAGAGGGAGTGTTTCAGTGAGCAGTGGCCACACATGGAGTGGCGACTCCCCAGGTGGCGGAGCCAATATGGGGGATTTAAGCATGAGGCACCTCCCCCGGCCCCGAGCCACCAATGCAAAGGGAGTTGTGTGGAGTTCCTTAAGTAAGTCATCAGTGTGGCACGCCTGAATCAAGGAAGGTGGTCATGGGAGCAGGGTGTCTGCCTCCCTAGAGAACCAGGCTCCTGCCTGCAGCGGGCTGCTCTCACCATCAGCACTCACGTGGCTCAGGGTGACAATCCTGAGTGCAGAAATTCCATGCTCACTCAGGTCACCCCCATCAGCCCTGCTCAGCAAGGCATTTCCCCTGGACTAGTGGATGCACCAGTGACCCTGTGCCCCGCCCCAGCTGTGGTGTGCGGTGGGGCCGCACTGCTTACCTCCATAGAGCAGCAGAGGACCGCGTCTTCCTTCACGTCCTGAGACTGCAGGAGCTAAGAGGAGACAGCAGAGGGGAGACCACTCAGGGGACACATGGGCTGCCCTGCCCTGCTCATTCCAGACCCGGTCCTGATGTCACTGGTGACAGTATCTCCAAGGCTGGGCTGGAGTGAGTGCTCATGAAAGTCAGAAGGCAGAAAGACAAGGGGACTGGGAGCACTGACTTCTTTGCTGGGCTTCAAGCCGGTGGAGGAAGCGGTCACCATGTAGTAGGGAGCCCAGGGCAGGTCAGGATGCCGTGAGGAGCAGCCCTCACAGAGAGGACAGCCAGTGTGCTGGGATCATCCAGTTAACAGCTGGGCAGTGGAAATTCTCAGGGAAATAAAATTAGCTTAGGGATGTTCAATCAGCGACTCCCCTGTGTGTGAGGAAGCTTAGCTGCTGGGTCAGAAGCTCTGGGCCCTGGCCACAGAGGACGCCCAGCAATCAAACCTCTCCTCCACTGGCCCGACGCGGCCCATGTCCACAATCAAGGCTGCAGGCACTTACCAGAGAAACCCAGGTCACAGCCAGGCTGCTCAGTGCCCAGCCTGGCCACGCCCCTGGCCAGGGTTCCCTCTACCTGTTTGGCTCTTTCTCTCAATCCTTCTCATTTGAAATTTAGGTATAATTCATATAACACAAGATTCACCATTTTGTGGAGGGGTACTGGGGATCGAACTCAGGGGCACTCGACCACTGAGTCACATCCCCAGCCCCATTTCATATTTTATTTAGAGACAGGGTCTTGCTGAGTTGCTTAGGGCCTTGCTAAATTGCCGGGGCTGGCTTTGAACTTGTGATCCTCCTGCCTCAGCCTCCAAAGCAGCTGGGATTATAGGCGTGTGCCACCACACCCGGCTAAAAATCATCACTTAAAAGCAATAATTATGTGGGTTTTAGGATGTCAAGAGTTATGCAACTCCCACCACTATTTAATTCCAGAATATTTTAATCATTCCAAAAAGAAATCTGTACCCATTAGTAGTCAGTCATTCCCCATTCCCACCCCATTCCAACCCTTGATAACTCCTAATCTACTTTCTGTCTCTCTGGATTTGCCTATGCTGGATATTTCCCATAAATGAAATCATACAATGTGTGGTCTTCTGTGATTGGCTTCTTCCACTTACAGTAATATTTCCAGAGTGCCTCCATTTGTAGCGTGTCCACATCTCCAGCTCTGGACTTCACACTCTGATCCCCAGGAATTCTCAGCCACGCGCCACAACCGCAGACTTCACTCCCCCTCCCTTTTCAGGGCTCAGCGGGGTCTTCCCCCAGCATCAGAGCATCCTCCCCACTTCCTCCCGGGACACTTGTCTGGCTCCCTCCACAAGAAGGGAAGCTCCACCAGGGCAGGGCCTTTGTTGGCCACTGCTGTCCCAGAACCTGGCACCGTGCATGGTGCACAGTAAGCACGTGGTAAATAGCTGCTAGCAAACACATTGGGAGGCAGGGAGATGACCCACTCAGCTGCCAGAGCTGTAAGAGGGATGGAAAGAGCCCTGTAAAGCAGAGGGTCTGCAAGGCACCGTCCTGGGAATGGTGAACCTCAGGGGGACATGGGTACTGTCACCCCATACACCTCCCTCACCCAAACACACCGTGGATGTGGAGATACGAGCTGGTAGAGCTTCATAGCTGGCAATTTGGTGACAATTATTAATGTCCCACGTGTTCACTTCTTCTGACCCAGTGATAGTACTTCTAGGAATTTCTTTTGCACATGTTCTCCACACATGCCATATGATCCACCCCCCCACACACACACACGCTATTCGCTGCACTATTGTTAGAGCAAAAGGCAGAAGGTAACTTGGACGTCCATGACACATCTGCACAGAGGACTATGCCACAGCACTCAGCTGTCCCTGCCCTCCCCACTGCTGTCTGCTTCTGGAATTTCTTGTCTCCAGACCCAGAGCTGCAGATCCTTCAGGGAGGCTCCAATTGGCCAGTGCCTGGGGGGAGCTCAGGGGCCACCCGGGAAGGGTCTCCCTTATCTGGAGGACTCAGGAGGTCAGAGTGAAGCCCAGGACGCGGGTTCTGGGAGTCAGGGGTGGGGCTCACATTTCAGCTGTGCTCCCTGAGTCACCTGGGCCAGCATCCACCTAGTCCTCTCCACCAGGGGCAGGTCCCAAGGCCTCGTGGGAAGGGGGTCCTGCGACTATCAGGGATGGGGCTGGAGGGAAAGGTGGGCCTGGCCCCACGTCCTCCCCAGGGAAGGCGTGGCCCAGTGTGAACTCTGGGGGTCCCTGGAACTGCCTGCTGTGGTCGACTTCCCTTACACGTTTCCTCTGGTGCCTAGAAGGAGAAAAGTCCCTAAAATGGTAAAAATCACAAAAAAAGGGGGGAAGGTGAGTTATCTGGGAGAGGGAACTCTTGACCCAGAGTGGGTGGTGGCGGCTGGGGGAGAGGGGGAGAACCTGGGGCTGGTGGGAAGGTAGGAAGGTGGGCTCAGGATGTGCCTGGGGACTGGGGGACAGATGGAGGCTTCTCGTGGTGAGTGGAGGTGCACCTGGGCTGTCCTGAGAGGAGCCTCTTAGGGGTCTCCTACCTCCCCTGGGGCCTGCCAGATGCTGAGGTGTAGGAACAAGTGAAGGAGCATGATGGGAAATTCCTCAAAGAGCCAGAGCTGGACAAGCAGTCAACAGAGACAAATGTGGTTGTCTCTCCTGGAAATGGGCCCTTCAGGCTTCTGTCCGTGCTGCACGGAGAGCCTCAAGCAGCCTCAAGGTTCTGTCAGCCGAGAGTTCTGCCCAGATGAGCCAGTGTCTGGCTCCTCGCTTCTGCTACTGCCCAGGGCCTGTGGCCTTCTGCTCCTCCTGACTTGACTGAAGAGGCTCCTCTGCGTTCCATATTCCTCTTCTTCTTTCTCTTCTCTTCCCCTCTTCTTTGTGACTGCATCATGTCCCCTCAGGCATGCTTCTGGGGCTGCTGCCCTGCTCCCTCCCTGGCAGGGCTCTGGGTCTCTGACTGCCAGGGCAGGGGACAGCCTGCCTACGACTCTCAAGTGGCGCTGTGCGCAGGTCCTCGGCTCCACCCTTATCTCTTCCTTGGTTGTTGGGGAAAGTCCGAATGAAGCCAAGAATCACACGGTGTGCTCGGCCCTGCTGGGCTTTCTCAAGCAAGTCAGGAGTGCTGGGGGTTTTCTATTTTCCTTTGACTCCACAGATGCTGGAGTGCAGAGATTTCGTGAAGGGAGCCTGTGGCTGCAGACCAGGTCTTGCCTTCCCCTCCAAAGCAGATGTGGCCACTCAGTGCCACCTCTCGAGAGTGGACTCTCACCCCAGGGCTGATAGGAGTGTGACTTCTCCAGCCTCCTCCTCTGACCCCAAGGGAACTTTGCTGACCTGGGTGCACACCAGGAAGTCCCACTGGCCGCTATTTGGTAAAACAAGAGGCCAACCTGCCTCACCCAGGGAGCCTGACACAGAGCCACAGGGCTCCCTCCCCAGGACCCCTTTCAGTGCCCCTCAGGTTCAACAGCTTCTGGCACATCAGTGGCTTCCCAGGACTCTCTACTGGACTTGCCCTTTGTGGGCGTCATCCCAAGGGCAGGACCTTTCCTCTCATCCATTCTGGTCCAAACTTCCTGTTCTGGGTCCCATTTCTTTTCCTAAGTGAACCTCTGTTGGTGTGTTGAGGGGACCAATAGCTCTCTCATTTATGAATGCTCTCCTTGAGATCTTCAGGAGGCGACTGCTTTAACTCAAACACCGGTCTCAAAAAGTGGCCTCTTGCGGCTGGGGTGTGGCCAGGGGTAGAGCACTTGCCTAGTGTGCACAAGGGCCTGGGTTCCATCCCCAGCACTGGAGAAAAAGAAGAAAGTGGCTTTTTGAACAGACATCGTACTGGCATCTTAATGCTCATAGATGCATTATTGATCATAGCCCCAAAGTGGAGCTCCGGAGCGTGGGCGGATGGATGAATGAAGAAACAAGCCGTCTGTCCACACGGTAGAGTGTTATTCAGCCTTAAAAGGGAAGGACACCTGACATGCCACCACTTGCATGAAACTTCATGACAGCACACTAAATGAAAGAAGCCAGGCACAGAGGGACAACAAATGGCTGAATGCCTCCACTTACATGAGGTTCAGAAGAGTCAAGTTCATAGAACTAGAAAGTCGCTGGTGGCTGCCAGGAAGTTGGGGAGGGGACGGGGGCGTTGGTGTTTGGGGAAGATGAGAGAATTCTGGAGATGGACGGTAGAAATGGTTGCATGACCATGTCCATGGACTTAACACCATAGAAATACGTATTTGAAAGTGGTTAAAATGGTGCAACTTTGTGCTTTACCACCATCAAGAAAATGGTTATTAAAAAAAAGATAGTCGGTGTGGTAAGACCCACTTGTAATCCCAGCGACTTGGAGAGGTTAAGGCAGGAGGATTGCCAATTCAAAGCAACTCAGTGACCAGACTCTGTCTCCAAATACAAAATTAAAAAGACCTTATGTCTGGTGTAGCTCAGACATAAAGCATCCCTGGGTTCAATCCCCAGTACCACCACCCTTCAGAAGAGGGGCTGCACTGATGGAGGACCAGGGCTGCCCACTCTGGGAGCCCCAAGGCATGGGGTGGAGGAGGAAGCCCCCTCATCCGAGTATCTGGCACAGAGAGGGATGGGGGCGGGCTGGGGCAGGCAAGCCTCCCGCGCCCTCGCGCAGTGAAGTGTGTTTCTTGGATGAGAATCCAAGGCAATTGTGCGAGCCCACACAGTGTTTGTTCGGAAGCGAATGCATTCCTGTCCTATTGTCTCTGCCGGAGACTTGTTGTGGGCACACCCATCATATCCTCCCTCGGGGAGAAGCCAAGGTGATCTCGTTGGGCTGTGGGAGGCCCCACATCAACTAGGGAGAAAGAGCATCCAGAGTCCTCAGGGAAGGGCCACGGGGCACGGGCACACTGCCCAAGGCGTGCCCAGGATGGAACCAGGCTGGCTGTTTGGGAGGCCACCTGACAAGAAGGGAAAGAGGGTGCTGATGGAAGGACCCATGGGCTCCTTGC